ATATCATCTTCTGGCTCATCAAGGATGTCTTGTTTTCCTCGTTTAAGGATGATATCATGTTTGTCTGTGTGAAACCCTTTAAATTTTTAAGATTTTTTTGGTTGACCTAGAGAAATCCAAATCATAAGTCATCTTTGCCAAAATATTTATAATGTTGTGTTTTAGCTTTCCTAATTTTTTCATAATTTTTTGGACACTGTCAAAATTTCTTAAGAAATTGACACCTATCAGTACAAGTGCAGTTTTTGGGACCGTTAGGTGTCCTTTTTACAAACTGATTAAACCAAAATTTTTTAAATAAAATGAGTTAATTTATGAATATTTTTTTATAATTTTTGGAATCCCCAAAAGAATTCAATGAATTTTCTACTGAAAATTAATTATAATAATATTATTATTTATTATTTAATAATAAAAATTAGAAAACATCTAAGAGCATTATAAAGTTTTATAAAATCCATTTCATTCAAATGCTTAACAGCGAAAGGCTAAAGGAAAAATTAGGGAAAAAGAGAGGTGAGAGAAAAAAATTTGATTTTTATATATATATATATATTTTTGCCTAGTTGAATTTTTTATTGTCTACCATTATACAATACTGTGAAATTTTGATATATGCTTAATTACTCTTTAATTATTATAATGTGATAATATATGTGCATATGCGATAAAAGTATATATGCTGGGAGAGATAAGGGGCTATAATTCTTTGAGATTCCATATGTGTCAGGGAATTTTGTGGAGTTATAAGGGACCAAAATCCTTTGACATTCTGTCTGAGATAGGGACATCTGATATATTCTAGTGCTATAAGCACAAATTAAAAGAGAGTCATAATGGGCCAGAATCCTTTGAGATTCTGTCTAGATCAGAAAAATATATTCTGAACTACTCAGTGATATGAATTTTAATTTTTTCATTTGTTCTGTACTATTATTTGAATCATAGAATAAATGCTATGCATTTATTATATTTTTCAACTTTTTTATTCTCAGTTCAATGATTTATTTAAACTGCTATTAACTACTTTTAAATATTCAACAAAAGATATGTTAAAAGAATATTTGAAAATTTAGATTATTTTGTGTGGCTTGCTGAGCTATTATAGCTCACTGTGATTTTACTTCTGATTTTCAAGATCTAAGAAGGGGAAAAAGATTGCGGACTAGCAGTTCAGGATTAGATCTGAGGTCATAATCATTTTGTTATTTTTATTTTTGTATAATTATGGCTAGTTTAATTTTTAGTTATGTAGCTCTTGCTTATAGTCATGTAGTGTAATGTAGATATTTATTTTGATAAATGATAGAAACTTTATGGATGAGCTTTTTCAGTAGTTGGATATTTTAGTAGCTATATTATTTGTCATTTATTTCAATGAATATCAGCAAAAAATCTGAAAAATTTACAAAATTAGATATTGGGATTTGCATGTCACAGGTTAATACGATTAGACCTATTCTGGTCGGGTTGGGTTGTGGAAGTCTGTGGTTGGATATCTTATTTTTTAGGGCATATATACTATCATGTTTTTCTATGGTTGTGATTTCTAATTTTTTTTAGGGATATCTAATTTCTTTTGGGTTTGGGAATGTTTTTTTTTCATATGACAAGATGAGGAGGAGGTATCAGGTAGTTTCACATGATAAAATTTTTTGTGAGTAATATAATTATTGATCTTGTCATCAATAACTTCTACTCTTTCAGCTAGTTGTTTAAACTTCTTGCCCAGCTTACCTTCAAATTGAAGAAAGAGTTTTATGTAGGTATCCTGATAGAATTTGATTATTTTTTTCTTGAAGAAAATCTAATGCTTGAGCATAAAATATAATGTGTGGTTGTTGAGGAGATTGGTGGGGAGCTTGCTGGGGAGGAGGGGGTATAATGGGGAGATTGGTGAGGGTTTGATGGAGAGATTGGGGAGGGGGGGGGGGGGGGGGGGGGGGGGGGGGGGGGTGCTGGTACAATGGGAAGATTGAATTGAAGAATGAGCTATGTTGGTTGATAATTCATTTATTTCATGATGGATTGGAGGGCTATGTGATAGATTTTTCTTGATGCTAAGCATATTAATTTCATCATGGGTAACTCCCTGTAGGACATCAAAATTCTGTAAAAAAATTGTATATTAGCAAATTCTTATTCTTTATAGAGATATTAATTAAATTTTTTTGCAAGATGTATGCCTTTCCTTTAATTTATAATAAATAAGTTAATGATCATCTCAGTAGTATATACAATATCACAACCCATCGCAGGAAATAGAGCCTTATGTTAGTGTACATAGGAGCATGAATAGAAGTGTGCTCCAAGAATCAAATCTGTATAAGATCAAATAAAACTTTAACAAATGAATTAAAAAAAATTAGAATAATTTTAACACTCATAATTAGCGAATGCACAAAAGTATTGATGTAACTTGCTGGCTTCTTATTTGAAATCTTGGTGAAAACCTTATTAAATTCTTAAACTAAACATTCCCAAATCGACCCTGCCCAGTTTATTAAAAAAAATTTATCAATATTATTTGATATTATAAGAAGAAATTAAGGGGTTTTAAAGTTATTAAGTAGAAATAATAAATTTGAACATAAAAACATAATAAACATTCTTAACATAGTCTCTGGGAGCTATATTTGTTTAACTCAAGCATGTCCGCCTTAATTTTCAATGTGATGTAATAGCTGTAGGTGCTAAGAAAAATCAAAACATTTCTTCACATTTATTTGATAGACCAACAAGAAGGGTCACTTCATTAACAGTGAAAGGTATAACATAAAATTTTAGAATAAAACATTGCTTTGAAATATTCCACCTTAAGATCAACTCATAAATAAGTGAGACATTTTGTTCGAATCCAAGAAATTACATAAATTGTATGATATTTAATCTCTTCAAGCTTTCCACAACTTTCGGAGAATTTTGTTGAGCAAAAGTATCACAGATTGTTCAAAATGTCGAAACATAACATCAATAAATAATAGGGCGAACATAGATCTAAAAAATCAAGGTTAAAAAACATATAAAATAAGTAAAAATATGAAAATAAAAAAAAACACAGCATACGCACAACACACACATTACATATACACAACATACGCATAATATATATTTTTGCCCACGCACAACATATACAGTGCTTACACACAACCTATGCAAAAACTATTCAAAACCTATGCATAAAGCATTTATCTATTTTCTTTTTTTACTATTTCTAAGATTCAAAGAGTTTAATTGTTAAAAGTTTGTTAGGGTTTAGGTTTTAGCATAAACCTTAAATACAGAGAAAATATGATAGACCATAACTAGCATCAAATATTTATGCAATTATAAAATATTAAATATAGTTAAAAGTTTTGAGAAGGAATGCATAGCATGCGCATAAAATAAGCATAACATGAGCATAAAACACGCAGAACTTGAGCAGAAAACACGCAAGCAACTTACCTTTTATTTTAGCATGTGGTACCATTTGAGAAGGAACTAAGTGAATGCCTGAAATTGCAAAAAGAGAATGAAGGAGCATCAGAGGAGTTTCACTTTGGAGAATGAATGTCGGATTTCAAAAAGCCGCTTGAAATGTGAAATTTTTCTGCCATTTTCACTTTTAACCTTTATTGGGTTTAAGTGTTGAAGCCACGTAAGCATTCCACGAGGCAATCCACGTAGGCAATTGCCACAAAGGCTATCCACGGGTCACAATTTTATTGGCATCCGAAAGCAGAGCAATGACCGGATTATGCTCCGAATAATTTCTCGTTGACGCAAACAAAAGAGGGTTTCTTGCAGAATCGCAGAGAAGTGATGGGTTCAGCACAGTTTGAAGACTACAGAACTTGAGCGGGATTTTGAACTGGAAATCGATATGGGTAGTGGCTGAGGCATGTATTTTTTATCAGTTTTATTATTATTATTATTATTATTATTATTATTATTATTATTATTATTATTATTAATAGCAGAGGTCAACATGTTCATCTAAATCTCAAGTGGTCCTAGACTATGGGGTTAAAAAGATCTGTATCTTTATTAGGTTTTGGCTTTCTATTGAAGTATTGACTAGCATGTATGATTCTTCTGGTGCATCTTATTCTCTTTTGTGGGGCATAGAATGGTGGTCCTCAAAGTGGCATATCTCGTGTTGTGGCTATCTAAATTTATATTATTTTGGTTACCATTACTTAGTGTTCAGTTGGCATTATATGCTTAAGTGGTGCTGTTTTGTTTTGCAGATTTTGGTAGCCATTAGGTTGAGGTGGAAACTTACCTTCCATACCTAAATTTTTTTGTCAATCAAAATTTCCTGAATATCATGGATATTTTCCCTCTTCTTCTGTCTTTATTGCTTCTATATCTGGTAATAAGCAATAGTTTCTCTTTTTCTTGCATGACAATTGATTTGTTTGGTGACATTCCTTCAGTGTGGATGTATTATGACTAATTTCTACATGTAATACTCATCTTGGTGGAGCGCATGCCTCAATGGAATGATGGTCATCAAATCTCATTGTATATAATTTTTTAAAATTTCCAGCCTTAATTTACAGCTAGTACTCATTTATTTTTAGAATAATGTATGATCTATTGCCTTGTGGCAAAGCCTTAAAAGTAGCTGTAAGTAGTGATTAGTCATTGCTCTCAAACTGGCATATGAAAAACCATGAAAATTGATCAAATTTTCAGAACCTGCCTAGCAGTTTTCAAACCCAACTCTATCTCAAATTTATGAGTACCAATGAGCATGTGAGACATATGCTTTTGCAAGAGACTGAAATTTCTTCAGTTCCAAGCTGGTTGAAAACATAATTTTGAAATTTGTATAATTTAGTAATTTTTTTATTTACATAAGTGCTGTTAGGAATCACCATAAGCTTTAGGATCTCCACTTAAAACTTCCTGAATTATTTCAAATTTAAACAGAAACTGAGCAACTTAAAAAAAAAAAAAATACAACACAGTTCAAAACCTATTTTCCATCAACAATTAACCTTGAACCTTGATAAGATCAAAGGAAAATTCTTTATTGTTGAACTCATAGCTTAATACAAGCCTTGTGAATAATTAGATAGACACATACAACTTGCCACCCAAGCTGAAAGTAAAGTAGCAGAACACCATCAACAAAACTACTTCAAAGCCAAATATTTCAGATTAAAGGTCATGAACATCAGAAGAAAATGCTGTCAAGCAGCTACAGCTATCTTCACTGGCAGCCGACCGACACTCAAATCTAAACCCACCGGGTTGTTATTTAAGAAGCAAAACAAAAGGTAAGGCTGATATTGAAAAGCTACAGCTTACTGCTTTTTCTTTTCCAATTCTTTTAGCATTCCTCTCTTGCGTATGCGGAGGCAGAAACCAAGGCGCCATTTATCGACTACAGCCACAGGCAACATGGAGATCAGTGTCCAAATCAGGGAATGAGGCCAGTATGGAGTGCATGTAGGTTCATAGCCTATCCACTGTAGGGCAGATTGGGCATACGTGTTGGCTGATGGCACTAAGAAGGAAGATCTCTTAATAGATGCCATCTTTGTTGCTACGTATAAAGGTACCTGCTTAGAACTATGTATGAGATGTAGAAAAGAACAATTCCAGTTTTGATGCGGTTCTATTCACAAAGAAATCTTTGTCCAGTTAAAAACTTGATAGCCTATTTAATTTTCATTTCTTTATTTTATACTGGTAGTGACCAGCAAGTCAGCCTATTAGAAGAAAAGGAACGTATGATCTTAATTACAAATGGCTAATTATCTTTGAAAGATCCCAAACTAATGTCATATTTAAAGAAAAAAAAAAGGGAAAATTTTGTTGCCGACTCCAACAGTCAAATTTTATGCATATATTGAGAGAAAAAATAGAAAACACACAAAAAGAGATCAGCCAACAAAAACATGAATTTTATTCAAGTTTGATTAACATATGGCTTGTCAAACGCCACAATATATTTCACTGTGGTTGATTTTGAAAAATTACAGCCTTAATTTTCAGAGAGATATAAAACAGCACTCTCCTCTTTCTTAAAGAGAAAATCAACGGAAGCCAAAAATTACAATAAAATAAGAATTAGATAGAATGCTTTTAGCATCTAACAATTAGTGTTTGTGTGTTGATGTTTGGCAAACATATAATACTGAGCCTATGAAGTTACATAAACTATAAGAATGAGAAATTAACTCAATTTGCCACTCTAGATTTTGGATCCGTAGATTTTAATTTCTCTTTTGAACAGAAGATGTTTCAATTAAAATATATTCTTAACTTCATAGTTAAGACTATTTGTCCCATAATTAATTATCTAAAATTACGTTGTTCTCTATGGTTAACATAATATATGGCACAAGGATACGGATGATTAAAAACAACGGCTAGTCTAATATACTTCAAGATGATAAATGTCGAATAGATAATCGGATGTTACAAGCTTGATAGATGATGGACCTCCGCATCATCATACATATCCAAATTTGGTATCACGAAAAAAGACTTAAGATTTAATCAAATTAAACAATTTTAACACGACCTTCGTGTCAATAGAATCCTGTGAACTGATATAATCCCTAGTTCATTCATGTGTACTTATTTAAATCCTTGTGTTTCGATGTCAAAGTTTTAGTAATACAGTTTTGCTTAGTTAAACCATTGTAATTCACGTACGCTCATTCATCTTCATTTTGACTAGCGTTTTTTTTTTTTTGTCTACATTGTTCGGAAACTTTAATTAATAACAAAATAAATAATTATAAAGTGAAAGAGTACGGAAATGGTCTTTGTAGTTTAAAAATTAAGTGTTTCATAAATAAATTAAACCGATAAAGAATATTTTAACACTAACAAAATAAAGAGAAACTAGACTACAGAAAAAAATCTAAATTAGATTGTGATATCTCATTTATCATGATTTTAATAGTCAGATCCGAACTATAAGAACTTGCCTGACAAAATACAGCTTAGTTGTAATTAACAAAGCATTCAAACAGATGCAGAGCTATGATGCACAGACACGAACACGGCGACACGGGCACGACACAACACAGACACGGGACACGTCAATTATTGAAAATATAGGACACGGACACGGGTTGGACACGGTATTATAGTTTTTATATTTTAAAAATAGTATATAAAAATCGAATAAGTATAATTTTAAAAATAATTTAAAAATAATAAGTCATTTAACTATAATTTATGCTTAAAATGATTAATGCAGTAAATATTGATCGTCAATGTTAAGGGCGTTTATCGTCGATGTTGAGAGTGTTGGTCGTCGATGTTGAGAAGGCGTTGGACAAAGATGAGATGTCAAGCTGTGGGTGTAGAAATTACTAACATCGAGTATCAATATAAAGAAACCGTCAGACTTTGACATGAAAATCGTTTTGAAATGTTGCTGTTGTAACGACGCCAGACGTCGATGCTGAGATGATATCAAGCATTGTTGTGAAATAAAAATGGTAACCCGCTAAAGAGAAATGAAAATGAAAATATTCGATTAATGGGTTATCAAGTGCGGACGATTGATTTGATGTTGTGGATAAGAAATAAGAAACTTAGTTTTTATATTTTAAATAAGTAAAATTTTAAATACAAGAAGTTATATTTAAAAAATTCATAAATTATTTAGGATACACATCTCGGACATGTGTGTCCTATTTGTATTTCATATTTTTTTAATTGGACACATTTTCGACGTGTTCGACACGTGTCGGAGGAGTGTCAGACTCGTGTCGTGTCGGATACATGTCGGACACTGCACGTCTCTTTGAGGAGAAGTATCGGTGCATCATAGATACAGAGTAAAAGTTACTAACAGTGGAAGTTTATTGCTTCTTCTAAGACTAGAAGTTTTTTGTATTTTCTACTAGTGTGAGAAAGAAATAAAATAATGAATTGAAATTTGACTAAAAAGCAAGGCTAATATGCTTCCAAACCAAGAGCACACAATGTGTTTTACATTTTGCATGTGATGCCTGCCATGAAATCTCAACTGAAGAAAATTAGCATGGAAGTATCACAACATTATTAAAACAATTATTCATTCAAGAACAAAGAAAAAATGGGAAACAAAAGGCAATATAACCAATTATGGAATTTCTCTAATATAAAAGTCTATAGATTCACAAAGAAAAAAAAATCGATTCACAATTTCAGTTAGACGTCTGTGAGCTAAAACTGCCAAGATCTAGTATTTAAAAAGATATTAGAGGAACCATAACACAAGATAAAATGCTTAATAGAAGTGAATGAAATGAGAGACATCTTACTTGGCATTGCACATCTATTCCTTTATCTTGGTACTCAACATAGAGGCACTTTGAAAATTGATCAACATATCTGTGGATAATATAAGCCTCAATCAGAAAAGTATAAGAGAAAAAACACGCAACTCACTTCCCATGTCTTTTTCCTTCTTTCAACATCACTTTACCAACAAAACAATAAACATCAAATGCTCAATTCATGCGGACATACGTGTAATGACAGCTATTTAAGGAACACCGCAGACATTCATTGCTAGAAATTAGTTCAAACATATCAATTTATAAATAACAAAATCTGTGTACTCATATATCTAACAGGTAGCTGACGTGTTATGTAGAGAACTTGCACTCAAGAGAGGCCCACAGACTGAACTTAACCAACAGGAGTTGCTACTCATTTGGGCCTACCGAGGAGCTCGCCCTCTGCTGGGTGAATCGAAGATTCCTCATCAGGCTAATACCTCGACCACTGCTTCAGTCACTTACTCCTCCAAGCGACCTCTAACACTCATTCTCTCCTAGAGTAATCTCGGACACTCGTTCTCTTCCCTAAACCCTCAGCTAGAGGAAAGCACCTACTCTTTGGTACCCTCAGCCTAACTCTCTGTAACCACTGGATTTAGTTCTTCATCCTTGACATTTTACTTGCCCGCCTCTCGAGCAACTCGAGATTCTTCATACAAGTCGTTGGCAATTCAACAAGCACGCTAGTCGTTCGTCCTCCTTTCACAATTACTTGACCATAGAACTCACCCCATACATACTCAACAATATTGAATTCGCTCTTACAAATTTGACATTATCGAGCTCGCCCGAAGACAAAACATGAGAGCTCTGTAGCCCCTATTTTCCTTCAACGAATTAGAAGAAGACACATGTCTAAAGTAGTATATAGCATTGTATGGGTTTTTTATGTACATTGTATTTATCAATTTTTTCTATGTATTGTCTTTTTTATAGCCCTTATAACCTTATAATTAAGCGGTGATGAGAAACAGTTTGAGGGAACATTTTGACTAATATAGTCAATACTCGGCCAATTTTGTGACTTATAATTTCTTGAGCATTCAACAAATTTTTCTTTATTCTCTCTACTCTCTATTCTCATAGATCATAGGTCATCAAGTTGGTTTGTTAGTAAAGTTGTACGTCATCCACGCACAAATTTGGATCCAACAGAATTCAAAATTAAGAAGTCGCCATCCTATCCTTTGAAATGAGGTTATCTCTACATACTATCATCTATGCACTGACGTGAATCAGCAAGAAAGTAAAGAAACATTTTGCTTAATTTTTCCACACAAAATAAGAATTCCGAATTTCTCGGCCAGGGATATCCAACAAGAACCAATGTAAATATTCTCGAATTAAGAAAAACCAATATATCCAATAAAATATCAGTAAATGGAAGCAGAGACAACTCACGCTTTACTGGCAGCGTAGACGGCATATAGCGGATCCGATGGAATAACAGTGGATGCCCCCGATCCAATATTCAAAATAGCGCCTCTCTTCCTCTCGACCATCCCCGGCAGCACGGCGTGCGTCACCCTTGTCAACCCTTCTACGTTCACTTTGATCAAATCTTTAATCAGATCCTCATCGACTTCATGGAAGTACTTAGCATAGGGGTACGACATCCCGGCGTTGTTAACGAGGATCCCGACATCCATCCCCTCGATGGCTTTCTTCAACCTAGCGACTCCCTCGACAAGATCACTAGCGAAGTCAATGAGCACGGTCTCAACCTGGGCATTTGGGTGCTTCTCCCGAATAGCAGCGGAAACGTCGAAAAGCTTATCTGGGCTGCGGCCGACGAGGACAATGCCCAGGCCCCGGTGGGCGAGCTGGAAGGCGAGGGTGCGGCCAATGCCATCGGTTGCGCCTGTAACGATGGCCCAGGAGCCGTATCGTTTGAGGTTCTTGCCGGGGCGGATGAAGCTAACGAAGATCCAGCGGAGGGCAGCGATTGAGGCCTTAAGGAGAGAGAGGAGACCGAGGGCGGAAAGGGCGAGGATCCAGGCCGGCTGCTCCAAGGTGGAGGCGAAGCAATCATAAAGTTCCATCTTTTGGCAATATAAGCTATCGCAAGGCCAGCATGGGAAGTGATCTTGTGGGAGCTGAGAGGAGGTGGCACCGGGTTGGATTTTATAGCAGCGGCAATGCGAGAAGGGGAGGGAAGTGAATTAAGAAATTCGTTTCGGTTGGTTCGAGTAGATGAGCTAAACAGGCTACACAGCTTGCTTCGTATTTGGGATATGTTATATTGCTTGCTCAACGGTTCACAGCGGCGTCATAAAATGTGTCGTTGTATTTGTGGTTGCTTTAAAAAAAACGAGGGCAAATAATTTCAGTGAGTAGGAGTCCTATCAGGTGGGCCTTAGTTTATAAATGATCATATTGTGGGGATTGAAAGGTAGTCAATGGAGTTTTCACCGAGCACTATGAAATGATTAACCTCTCCTATATAGATCAGAATGCCACAATTGCCTCTTCATTGTTGGGATGAGAAAAATGTTACTTTGATTGCTTCTATTGTAGGTGATCCTTTGATGTTGGATGGGAACATGTTCCAGTAGGGAAGGAGGGAGTTTGCTAGAGTTTGTGTTCTTATAGAGCTAGATAAACCTCTTCTCTTAGGTGTTTGGGTGGATGGATTGGGTGGGAGATTCTTTCAAAATGTTGAATATGAGAGAATCTCATCGTTTTGTTATGATTGTGACATAATTGGTCATGAAAAAAGCAAATGTAAAAATGGAAATATAGCAGAAAAAAGTAATGTTGATGCTACTTATAATCAAGGCCAAGGGAATCTTCATAAAGAACAAGAGTAGGAGATGATAGATAAATATGGACCTTGGGTCCATGTTAATTACAAAAGGAACAAGAGGTTCAATAAAGAAGTGAATAAGGGGTTGAAAGCTGATATGAAGTATCAAAGCAAAGATAATATTTTTCAAGCTGTTGGAAATTTGAGGATCAAGGAAATAGTAACTGATGGGAAAAAGATTGCCAACCAGCAGGTCAATCTGTTATTGGAGGAAGATCTATCGGTTGCAAAGAAGATTTCTCAGGCTTCAGCTGTGTTGAAGGTTCTGGAAGACAGATTGGTACCGGTTGAAGTGATTAATGGGAACAAATTCAAATTGCTATCCCAAGTTTTTGCTGAAGAATTGAGCATAATAGATGGTGAAGGAAAAGAAATGCTAGCCAAAGAAAGCAAGGTAAATTCTGAATTTTAATGCTCGGTGACAGAAGAGGATAATAAAAATTCTGACAGAGTTAATTCTGAACCAGAACTATTAGAAGATGGGAGATAAATCCGAATGTAGAGTTTGCTGGAATGGGAGAAGAAGTGCAAGCTTGTTCTAGTAGTTTAGAACTAGACGTTATAGATAAATCAGATATTATCGGGTTGTAGATTGATGTATACAAAGAACCTGATATGAAGGAATTTTCTATGGCTGAAAGGTTTAAGTGCATAAAACATAAGGAAGTAAATGAATTACTGCCTGGTTTACAGAATTCAGTCACTCCTTTGATGATAGAGGATGGAAAATTGTATATTCCTTCCTAGTCAGGAAATCTGAAGAAAAAGGTTAATAAAAAATTGAATGCATTTGGTCCAATCAAAGGGAGTAAGAGGTAAGAATTTGAGTGTTGTTGACAATGTTAGACACACTTCATCATTTGCTTCAGGAAATGGTCATAGAAACAGCTGAAGGAATCCTTGGATGGATTGTGGAGTGGGCAAAGATGAAGGAGATTGCGAATAACAGAATGGATGAAGAGCTGAAAATTCTGGTTTCCTGCTTAGTGGATGTTAATGAATTTCAATTATTGTTTTGTTCTTTGTTTAGTTATCTTGCTTTCTCTTGTTTTAATTTAAGCACAAGTTGGATTTTGGAAAGGGGATTTAGATTGATGGAAACTAGGCATCTCTCTATTTTTTATTTTTTACCTAATCGGGAATTCTAGGATACTAATCAACCTTTTGGGTTGTTTAATCTTTGGTATCCCCTCCACCCCAATTGGTTTAAAATGATTAGTAGAGGATCCTATTTTCATTATGATTCTTCCTTTTTCTGAATTTCATCTCTATGCTTAAAATAAATCTAATAAAGGCTTCCTTTCTCTTCCAAAGGATTGCCTAAGTATTTAGTTTGTAATAGCTCTTTGTTTTAATTCAATGCTATATGCATTTCTTCAAAAAAAGAGTAGGTTTTATTATTATTAGAATTTTAGAATTATATTATTAAAATTTATTATATGATTTGTTTAATATTATTTATGTATATTAAATAATAGCAATAATGCAACCAAAAAAATTTATTAAGTTGTTGGAAAATGAGTATTCTTTCAAATACAACTTACTCAAAAGCATGCAAATACAAATAGAATATAAAACATGTTTTAAGTGGTCACATAAAGGACTTATATGCAATGAGTATTATAGCAATTAACAACTATTCGAGAGTGAAAGATAGCCATGCAGCTTTGTTGAGTTATGAAGCCCCTAATATAAATAGGAAAACAAAATGGTGCAAGAGTGACCATAAATCTAACTCCTTCATAAGCAAATGTTGAAAACAAACAAAAAGCAAATGGAATAGCATTTTTCCAACAAAGCGAAATTAGGAAAACCCCAAATGTAACAAGAAATGTTAAGCTCATTAGTACCACTTATAGACTTCCTCCAATTTATTTATTTTTTGTTAAAACATACATTTGATGGGAGTTTTTTAAATACCCGAAGCTATCATAATATAATTAAAATTTTTGTTATGTCCTTTTTTCCATATATTGCAAATGATAACACCCACATCCATCAAATAAATCTTTTGATTATTAAATTAAAATGAGAATTTTCACTATGTTCAAAGAATTAAGAGAATGTAGCATCATGAAGAAAGAAAGGTCCATTAGGAAGGATGTTGAGAAGGGACATTAAAAAATAGATGCTCATTATATTCATCCTATAAACATCATGAAACACATATAATAGAGAGATTAACCCTCCTACTTATCAAATTACAAGCTAAAAAATAATCTTTTTCCTTTCCAAAGGGACATATGCTCCTCCTTGTGAACATGAGTACCAATAATAGCATTATAGCAATCCTAATAAACTTTAATATTAAAGTGCAATCTATAGTTAAGAATAAAAATGGTGGAAGAGAGGGGACATTAATAGGAAAGTTAAAAGCTAAAAAGTAGGGTTGAAAAGAAACTCCAACATGAAATAGCCATTAAATCAGGGATCAAAATGTTGTTCCCATTTTCAAGTAAAAAAGAGAGTGTTTTCAATCACAAACTTAACAGGTTTTAAAAACTTACATTATTGAGATTCACAATTATAGTTATTTTTCCAAAGAGTGGCGTAAGTCATTTTTAAATAAAAATGCATGTGAGAGGAACCAATGAGAAAATTTCAAATGCCTTTAATCTTGTATGTCTAGTTTAAATATGAGGGAGAGATAAACACAATGGCACCATTTGCAAAGGGCAAACTATAAACTCCATGATAAAATTTGCAACTTCTTGGCATTACCACTACAAGATAAGAATCTATACCATAGATCTTTTAAAGTGTAGCCTTAGGAATGCTAGTACTTATAAACCAACATGATAGATAGTTAATTAGAGAGAATTTTATTAAGTCTAACCAACCTAACCTCCAAATGAAAAAAAAAAAAAAAATTGCTTCTAGATGTTTTGTAATAACCAAGCTAATCAAATAATGGTTGAAAATTAACTTTTTTTAATTTATCAAAAGAAATCAATAAAACAAGATATTAAAATGGTAGCTTTCCTAATAATAATCTAGAAGAAATACAAAAAAAAAAGGCTCAACTAGCAATATATTTGGAAAAAAATGATGTTGGATTTATTTAAGTTAGACATTCCTTACTCTCCTTTAAAAGGTGAGTAGTATACTCACAATAAGAACACTTTATTGTAAGGAAGGTAGCTCTCCTAATCATCAAACAATGATTAATTAAACCAATAATAATACAAGAAAATTATAAATACATGTTAGTTAAAATTTTATTTTGTTTTAAGGTATCCTTTAATGCATTAAATTTGCCTCACTTGTTAATTTTGTTTAGGGAAATTCACATAAAACATTAAAAATTAATAAAAGAAGCACTGTCACGAAGCCTGACTTTTGAGCATAGTAACATTCAAGGACAAAATTTGACCTTAAGAATAGAGAGAAGCGTGCAAAACATAAAGTCCTCAGTGTTACAACACAAGATCATCTGCACGTTGCAGCGCTATCCATAGTGTTACAACAAAGCCGTTAATTCAATTACCCTTATGAAACAACACGAAAATTAAGTTGAAGTGCCACAACACTACCACTCTAAGAACTTTGGCACCACAATTAGTTATTATTTATTATTATAAATAATATGGTTGAATTATTAGTAGGGGATGGTAATTTTATCATTTATACTCAATCTTAGGGTGGGTCTAGTAGAGAGTGAGTGTGTGAGAGAGAAAAGGATAGGAGGATTAGAGGGTAAGGAGAATAATATCTACTATTGCAAAAGACAAAGAGTTCTATCTATAATTAAACTCTGCATTATATTTATTTTAATTTATTCAATAAATGTTGGTTTATTTACTTAAACTAAAATGCTAGGCTAGATTAATATTTGTGTTGCAAACCTATTTTCATGACCTATGTTTTGATGATTGAAAAACACTATTGATTCTCTTGGACTAATTGTTTCTTCTAAATTTTCAGGAATCAAAGAGCAGACGAACAGTCGAAGCCAGTTCAGGATTGCGTAGGTTTAGGGTTGAGTCAGTCTGTACTTTTGTTTTTCAATTCTTGAGTCTAGTTGTAATGGTCAAAGAGACTGATGCTAAGTAACCCTACACACACACTTGAGAAACTTAGAATTTCTGTTTTTTCTCATATCTGCCAGGACAATTTTTTACATTGGCCTGGATGATATGGCTTAAAATAGAAAGTCTAAATAAGGATTCTTAATTAAGGCAGTCGTCATTAACATATCGGCCTGAATGATAAGCTCAAAACATAAAGAAGTTGCCGTCATAGACAATTAAGGTATACTGTATTTTTAAATTATCGTCCAGGACGACCATTGATCGGCCTGGACGAAATTATTAAATTATGCCTTAATTGATCAGAAAATCAAGGGAGTAATTAAGGATGATTGATACGATCATATCGTCCTGGACGATCACAGGATCGGCTAGGACGATCCA